AAATATCAACTTGTACGGAACTAAAGGACAAAGATAAAGTTTATAACCTGCGACCTGAATTCCAATAATTCCGAACTACGTCATGCATGTTACGTACTATGCAAACTAAACACGTTTCTGAAATTGTACATTTACTCAGATACATGCATACAATATTTTAAAAATGAAAAGTATATTTTTATTGCTTCGCAGTCACAAAGTGACTATAGATAGGCTGGCCAGCCGAAAAAAAGCTTCACAAAGCGAGATACATCGCAGACATATAAGAGTTTAGTAAATGTCCTGCGAACTCCATCAAATATGGTCTTACTAATCAATTAGGAGAAATAGAAAAATGTCTTTGAACCACGTCATTTAACTTTTTTTCGTACTCTCTTCTGTCCATTCTCTACTAATTCATTGATACGAATGGTTAGTGCTAAACCAAATTCATAGTACCAATAGATGGTCTCAGAATCGGCCTTGCCAATTTTCCGACATAACTTGCGTAGAAACTCAAAGGGACGATAATTATCAGGAGAGAGTACTTCAGACGAATCGTTATCAACTTCCATTATTTCAGTTGTTACCTCACGTATAAAAGCTAATAACTTTTCTTCTCTACTCATATCTTTAAGCCGTTCGGGCTGTTCCACATTGTGGTCTCGACACTCTGGGCATTGTTCAGAACGAACTGAAGTTGCACGACAGCATTTAATGTGAAAATTTGCAAGGTCAAGCCGCAAAAAAAGCATTACATGTGAGATATACACTTCTTCCATACTATTTTACACTCTATTTGCTGTTGCCCATAAGAAGGGTACACCTGTGTGGAGAGCATTAATGTTTGAATTCACTGATGATCATGCAACATGGAGCATTGATAAAACAATTCATGATTGAGCCGGCCGTATTAGTGATGCCTGTTCTTGAAGCTGGACAGATGCTCCACTAGGTCATATTCCTGTTCATATTCGTGGCGGGAGTGTGATATTGACTCAACGTCCTGCTTATACTACTACCGAATCAAGGGAGAAACCGTTTGAATTGATAGTTGCCTTGGATGAGACTGTACATGCAAGCGGGGAAGCTTATTTTGATGATGGTGTATCGTTAGAACCGGTCGAGTCATTGAGGATAGGTTTTGGTGTTTATGGCAATAGGCAAGTGGTAATGAAATCAGTCGGATAATGTAAACCTAATTCCAAACTAGAGAAGTTAATTATTATGAGCGTTGGATTGTTGATAATGTTTATATTGATATGGACAAGAATGCAATTATTACATTTTAAAGAAAATAAACAACTATTACAGTACATTTTAGAGAAAATAAACAACGTAATTATTTGATTGGGTTTAAATAACTTTATTGTGAGGGTTTCCAAAGATAATAGTGGAAGAAGTTCTTGTTAACAATGTTCATATTATAAAAAAATGATATCGTACTTTCACATGTTAAGAGACGCAGTCGGCAATTACAGTCCCTTGCGTATCCAATGAGCTTCCCACTTGGCAACGATATTGTCGTGCCAGTGTATCTTGCAGGACAATGATATCGTATTTGGGCGTTTTTTCCTACCGACTCGAATTGTTGGAGGGTAAATTGGGGTACACCTTGTTTATTTACGTGCTAATTACAGTGTGAGTAAAGTGCAGCCAACTTTGACTTCAATAAAGAGTTCGTGATAAAACTGCAAGTTGGTCAACCTTCAAGTAAACGACGTTCACAAGTCGCATGTTATTTTTACAAATTGAAAGATTATGTTTACTATTCCAGTAGCTAACAATTACTTTAAGTCCAAGGATATAAATTGTTGATAAAAAGCGCATTGTTGCGGTAAGAACGCCCGCGGAAGAATGAGTAATAAGCATTGCTTATCTTAAAATAAAAGTACATTTTTATTCAAAATTTAATAAGCCAAATCTCTCGATAAGTCGTACGTATAAGACACAACAAACTATTTTTTAGAAGATTAAAACCACAAACTAACTCAGATCATTGTATAAGACAACAGTTTTGTTGGTCTATACAGCTACCTTACATTAGTGGTGGTTATGTTGTTGAGGTATTATCGTTACTCTTTTTCTTGTCAACATAACCTTTAACCATCATAGCCGATTTGGCAAACATTACCCCAAATAATAATCCGAGTATTATGGTTTGCAAAGCAAATGCAATACTTTGGAGAGCCTCACTAGTACAAACGTTTGAATACGGAAGTAGTAAAAGAACAACGGCTAACTTCAAAAATGAAATGCCGATATTTAACTTATTCATCAAATCTGTTATATAAGGCTTGTAAAGCGCTAGCAAAAGGAAATAAACCAATTCGGTGACAAGCAAGAAAAGGCCTTGCGTGAGACTGCTCTTCTGAGCCGCTCCAATGACGATAGCCCTAATAAAATCATAAACAACCGGAATTAGAAAGAACCAAACACGGCTCTCTTGTGCATCCGAGCTGTCTCGATATTGAGTGTAAAACGCGCCCAATACGATTTTGTGAGCTGGCGAGTCAAATGCTTCTCGATTAGAACGCATGTCCTTGATAATTTTGCTGGAGCAAATCGTTACTGATCCGATAGAGATTACTACAATACAAATTGCAGCAAGAAACAATAAAAACCAGCAATCGCGGCCAAGAGTTAATTGATAGGCGGCAAAAAGAGTCAAGGGATAGTAAAACAAGAGTAGCTGGATGGTGATACAAAATTAAAAAAGATAAATAATAAAATTCCGTTCAAAACAACAAAGTGCACGTTATCGAGTAATTACCAGACGTAACATTCCGCCTAAACGATAAAAAAATTTTAGAATGGTGTTTAAATTGATATGTTATAGAACGACATAAATTTTTTACTTACCAAGTATTAAAAAGTGAATATTATGCGCAGCAGTTTTCAGGATGGACCATTTTTCCCACAAAGACTTGAGCAACCATGCTAATGATCCAAGCAATAATGCGACAACAAATGCAGTCAATATAGTGCAAAGCAAAATATAATCAAGACCATAAAAAATAAATCATATCCCGGGACTCCCACGGCCGCGCCAAAATTCGTAAATCCAGAAGAAGGTGGGCTCAAGGTCGAATATGGGGTTTCCGATATGTTACATATTCCCTCTCGTATTTTGTTATTTGTAGTGTCGTTTATGAACCCAGCATGGAAACTGTATGGTAGTATTCCACAAGTCCATCCAAGTTCGGACGCCACACCACGATAGCTAAAGTTTAAATTTAGACTATTTAATAGACACGGTATAGAAAGCAAAGCAGTGGTCACAAAAAATTGAACAGCACGAAATATATCGTATATAGAAGGCGATTGTACTGTCAATGGAGGTGCTATCAGAAAAGCCGATTGTTCATGGTTCAACTCTTTGGTGTCTGTATATTGAAAATGTGATGTCGTCGCATTAGCTTGCATAGCGTTGCTCACTTGTAGCAGTGCGATAATTAGTACAGCAACTGTGCCGACTATTATTAGAACGTTATACAAGTACGAGAGGTTTTTTGTCAATGAGTTGCTAGGAGGACTCGGATAATTGGGAGGACCTGAATAATTGAGAGGACTCGAATTATTGTCCGCCTCAAGAGGACAGTCGGGATTGTAACGAGGGTTAAGAACGAGTCTGGCACAACCAGCACCATTATTTATCAAAATTTGCATAGAAAAGTGGTTGTCAGGGTAAGTCATGTGAAGGGCGTGAAATAGAGCTTGTCACATAGTAATTGAAGACTCGTCAATTTTAGGGATACGATAACAGTTTGAAAGTTACGTAGTTTATAAAACTTACCAAAATGGTTTGCCATATTAAGAGAAATCGTCAATGTACTTCCCTGAACCGTGCAAAAATCTTGAAAGGTTTGCGTATCGCAAATCAGAGTAAGTATAACACGCGAATGATCACCACAGGGTTTATCGTAACTCATTTGTACTAGAACGAGAGATATTGATTTTTTCGTTATGTATTTATTTATTAAGGAATACATAAACCGCATATAAGTTACGCTATTATGAATTAATTACTTGTAGGTCGCGTTAAAGCCACAGGTACTTGCATGGTAAGAGTCTTAACTAGATTAGGATACCCGGTCACGTTTGAAGGAGTGAGTTTGAGTTCAAAGCTCGAAAATTTCATAGATCCCTCGCACTGCATCATGCTCGTAGGAATAATCACGGGTACGGCGACATCTTCGGTCAGGTCAGTCTCATAGAATGCTCTTTTTATCAAGTGCGTAGAAAAATTCGACGGTTTTGTCGAAACTTCTACAGAATAGAATAATAGTGCAATTATGAGATAAAAATACGAGCTAAAAATCCAACTTGTTCGCATTTTACGTGAATTTTGCATCAAAAAATATGCAAAGGTTTATCTAAATGCTAATACGGATTCTTATAGCTCAACCTTCCGAATCACATGACGTTATCGAAGCTTCGCTCGAACACACATTCATTGTTTAAAGCTAACTGTACAACTGTTATAACGTTGTCTCACGTTTAACGAAATTGTGCAACAAATGCAGCAAAAAAGTCGACTATAACTATTCTAGTTGTAAAGCAGCGATTGACGTCACCCATTATCGAATGCATTATTTTACCAAAAGTTATTATCTGTAAATACCGACTATTCATGTGAGTCAAAAACTAAAGACCGTATGATATTGACATTTAATTTTGCCATGCTCTGTAGTATTGTTCATATGAAAAACACCTTTTCAAGGGCCGACAGTGTGCTAATACTATGTACAGTACGTTATCTAGCAATACAACTTCCCAATGATAGAATTCTTCAGTGATTGTGACTTGCTAAAAGAATAAAGTCTACTGTCATACGAAAAATTTGTGGCATAACAATGTTTATGAACCGTTGTGCGATTGACCCGTTTTGAAACAAATTCCACTATTTTCCGGTTTTTTTTTGCAGATATGGGATAATCTACAGAAAAAATTATTATGACAGCACGAGATAATTTTCGATCGCTTGACAGATTAGTAGGATTTTATTTCGTTGTTGATTCAGAATGCATTACTGATATGGATGACCAGACACTAGTACATCTTGACATGATCAAACTGCCGTGATACAAGCAACAAACACTGTAATTCATATTATTTCCACACGTTGAAACATCCGTCACAGAAGTGAAAGTTTTTGAAAAAATTTTATAGGTTACAATATCGAACATTTGAAGTGTGTCAATAAATTAATTCACAGTCTCAAACCACTGTCAAACTCTATTAATCAGTTTCTTCAAAAATATTATAAGAGTCTGTATGAGAAGTTATCAAAATTAAATTGTGGAACCTTCACAACTAGATCATTTGGCATCGATCGCAGTTAATTTCAATACTATTGGTGATTACCATTGACGATCTGAATAGTTTCTGTTGTTTAGTCACTCTTGAAGAGTTTGAAGGTGATGAATTGTGTTTTCCTGAACTCGAGATTGTTATACCACTCAAGCCCAATCAGGTTGTAGTATTTTTTTCATGTCTCTGCTTCACGGCAATCTTCAAATTATGAGAGGGATTCAGCATAGCATTGTATATTTTGTTTATAACATGTTCTTTTACCATTTGCGTAATTTTTCTTCAATATATAAAGATCTAGAGGTGGGGATTGAAAGTGATACTCATGAATCAGTTGTTCCTATGATTTCTCAATAAGATCTAAACAATGTATGAGAACTGAATAATCAAATCGGACTCTTCCAACTGAAAAAAAAATTAAACTGCGATACCTGTTGTGATAAAAGACAAAGAAATATTGGTAAGTAATTCATATTTATTGTTAATCCATGTAAAGCCAATGATAATAATATTTTATTTTTAATAAATTTGACGCATGCCTGACGAAAATTGAAGGCAGAGGATTCAATACCCGACGAATCATAGTTCAATGATGGATTTGATGTGAAAATCAGCTGGTTTTTAGTTATATAAAATTCTCAAAAAAAATAGTATAGAAAAATTACTACAAATTTAAGTGTATAAAAAAATAGAGACTGAGCCCCATTACTTTGTATATGTTTTTATTATCCATAATCAAAACATGTGTTTGAATGCAAAGTCAATAAAATAAATAAATTTTGTTAGAAAAGATATTTTATATATTCTAATGTATCTTCTCCAAAATTATATGAATCAAAGGCATTTCCATAATTATCTTCTTCAATATTAATCAATATTACATTTCTAATTCTTTTACTGAAGACCATATTTTTATTTAATAAATACCTTTCTACTTTTATAAACTCATTAAATGTTATTAATGCATTGTTATATATCAGCTCAATTTTATTATCATTTATATCCAATTTTCTATAGTATCTGTCTAGCTTCTCCAATAAATTATAGTATTTTGTATTAAAGTTTTTACACCTCTTATAAAGTTCATAACAAATTTCTTTATATCATATACAGTTAATTTGAATACAGTTATTTAAATCCTCTAATGAAAGTTTTGAGATAATTTTAGCAATAGTATCTGGAAGTATGAGTATGTTATATGTATACATGTTGTATATTCTCAAACATGTAGATTTTATTAATGAAAACTTTTTATTTTAATTATTATAATTATTATTGTTTAATCATAAAAAATATATAAACATTGTAATAAGTAGAACAGTTTAGTGGAGTATTCTGCAAAGCAGAACACTTTGTGTCTATTCTTTCAGAATTTTACAATCACCATATAGGTGCATTGTAATTATATCTTGATTTATTCACAATTTTGTATCTAATGGATTAACACTTCTCTTTGTTTGCTTTATTTTATACATTTGATGTCTATAACTTCAAAGGAATTAAGCAATTTGTAATTAATTCTCTTTTCTTTCTAAACACAATCTTCAAATATTTTATATATAAGCTCTTTCTTGATAAGAGACTTTTTAAGACTCTTTGTTTTGATTATATTTTTTTGTGGATTTTCTGTAACAACACTATAACATTTTGCTCTAACCTCTATATAACCAATAACTCTAATACCTGCATTTTTATCTTTTCATTTATTTATAACTTTAGTATTTTTTAAGACATACTTACCTTCTTTATTAATTATTTATTAATTTTCTGAAAGATTCTTTATTATTTAATAGTCTTTAGATTAATTACTAAAATTGAATAAATCACAATTATTAATCATTTTTTGATATATATTTTCCATATCAATTTCTATGATTAAAGAATCTGTATTAGTATATGAAAGTTTTACTTTATTACCATATTTTTTTTTAAGATATTCATACCAAAAGTCATACATATAATATTTGGAAAGATCAAGAATACATGCCTCTACATATTCTGGCTTATTTAGTTTTATATTAGTTTGCCTTCGATGTATAGTTACCAAGTTTGCCCATAGAAAATTTTTCAACTAACAAAAACTGAATCTAATATTAATTGATATAATCTATACTCTTCACCTATCTGTCAAACCAAATCTATATTCACTCACTTTCTTATATCTTCTATAGTTTTTTCAAATACTAAATTATTCATTAATTTCCAGAAGTCTTTTTCGAATACATTTTTTGCTTTTGCATATTATTATATATTCATTGATATATAAAGTTCTAGCCATAGCAATTGTTCAAATCCTAAAATTCGATATACTTTTTGAGAACATATTCCTCTCTAATATACTGCTATAAATTTCTATAATAAATAATATAATGATCTTTATCTTGAAGAGTTAGTATAAGTTTTTTTATATTTAAATGTTGTTTGCCTGCTGTCATATATCGTTTCTACCTCAGGAGAAAGATAAAGACGAAAAACTAGTAGCAGGGAGGCACTTTAGATGGACAGG